GGTGATTCTGCCCTTCAAGGGTATGATCCATGGCTTCATCCTTTATACTGTGAGACTATTTTTTAAGCTTCTATATTCTTTTATCTTCTTTTTCTTGTTCCAAATGGCACATGCCAATAAAGGCCAAGCTTATTCTAGAAGACAGGGATCAAAAGTATTCATAAAGTTTAGAGAGGAAGATAGGTACAGAGATTATTACAAATAACAATTATAACACACAACATACAGGTGACACTGAAGCTTGGTCTTTAAACAAACACATATATTTGCTAGACAAGACACAGAGATGGAAAAATCCATGCTCTGCCTGGTGACCAGGAAGAAATTCAAGGTAAAAGGACTATAGTGTATCTGATAGGAAATGGCAAGTGCTAGAATGGGTTAAGTCAGGGCTAGAATGTGACAGAGTTCACTTGGACTTTTTTTCCTTTAGAGAGTAGGAACCATTCAAAGGTCTTAAGCAGGAAGACAATGCCAGGTGTCTGGAGAAAAAAGGAAAAAAAAATCATGGCAATATGGGTGAAAGATTATGGATGACAGATTAGAACGAGAGGAGACTAGTTACTTTTGCAATATTTGAGGAGTTAAGACCACTAGACCTTAAGACAGCAGCAACAGAAATATATAGTTTCAGGAGCCCCATTAGAGGTAGAAGTGAGAGAGAAAAGGAATTAGGAAGTGACACTGAGATTTCTTTTCTGGGAGATGAGATTAAGGCTGGCACCAAAGAAAGACTTAGAATATATTTCTGCTTGGACCCCCCCCCCCTGGATTGAATTTACTTCTCAGTGAGAGGCAGGGCAACCAGGCAACAGCAGCCCTCTCCCACACTGTGGGCACGGTAGAAGAGGAGGACATGGGACAGGTATGGCCCATGGGCAAAGCCAGAGGGAGTACCGGGCTATGTTGAGCAGACACCATTTCTGCAATAATCCTGTACAAAAGAGGATCAAAACCCACATAGCACACTTGCCACCGCACCAAAACGTGAAGTACCTTAAATCCTGAGGTGGCAGGGGGACTACATTTTACCTGACATAGGTTTGTCCCAGTCCATCTCATCACATGGCCTCTTATTCTAATTCCATGACTAAGCGCTGAGTCTCCATTTCCTCATCAGTAAAGTAGGGCTAATAACACTCACCTTGTCTACTTCTCAGGGTTGTTGTCAGGCTGTAATGTAATAATATAAATAAAAGTGTCCTAAAATCCTTAATACAAAATACTAAGTGTTGTTATTTTTAGTACCTGGCCTTTTCTGAAGTTGGAAGATGCTGAACACAAAAACAGGTTTTTGAAATTCAAAGGTTAAGACTTGAAAGAATGGCTAGGATGTAATAATTTTACATAGATATACTTAACAGTCTTTTGAAACTGAACACTTTTCTATGTTTTTTGAAGTATAAACCATTTGGTCTAACATAAACTAGTACCTAATTACTATTTATTGATAGGGAATACATTTTTAGGAAGAACATTCCAGCCACATCGAAGTAGTTGTTTCTGTTTCGCTATCAGCCACATTTCTTCCATTCTTTAAATCACGGCACTGACACTAAACTTCATACACTATTAATCGACAAGGTTCTTTAATGTAAACATTATAACTAAAGTTTCAGTAATGTCTCAAGCAAATGTCATCTGTCTCCTAGAAACCCTCATCTAGCAGAACATTTCAATGGAAAAACTGTCTATTTTACTGTTTAATTTTGCATAAAAAGAAATCATTAAAGATGAGAACACTCTGTTGGCTAAAAGACAGCTTACAAAGGGACTTGACCCTAACAGAGGCTTCCACTGGGCCTCTCATTCATTTACAGGCTGGGCCACCAGCAACCTGTTAACATGCACCACCAAAGCTGTCCCTTCCTCCTTCTGAGTACCTCTGACACACACGGTCTTCCAAGTCGACACAGCTTTCTCTTGAGCAGGGCCTCTCCCGCACACGTTCAGAACTTTTAAAACATAGATTCTGAGGGGAAGAAGAGGAAGGGCAAAAAGTCAATATATAATGACAAATTCCTAAGAAGTGGTTGTTTCTGGGTAACAGAGTTTGGATGATTTTTTTCAGCTTCTTCAAACTTCCTGTACTCAGATTTCCTACGATAAGCATGTATTACCCATACAATTTAGGAAATAAAGGAAAAAAAAGTATTCACTAATAAAAACAAATCTGTTCTTCTAAGTTTGGATAAAGCAAATTGAAATCTTATATAGCTTGACTTTGATGTGTTTTTAATGAGAGCTAGCATATACTTTTCAAAAAGTTGCTTTTAGATAGATATATAAATATGGGAGGTGACCATCATAAGCACATAGGACCACATCTACATTGCTTGTTCTCTATTCTCAGCAGCCTTCAGTGTAAAATTTTGTTGTAAACCTGAGGTCTTCTATGGTGAGCAGAATTTTGGCCTCCGTGATCTCCGTGTCCTGGTTTTAATACCTGTAAATATGTTAATGTGACTTGGAAAAAAGGGACTTTTTATAGATGAAATTGTTTGCTACCCAGCTGGCCTTAAATAGGAAGGTTATCGAAGTGAGCCCTATTTAATAGCATGGGCCCTTACAATCAGAAGAGGAAGGCAGAAGAGTCAGCCAGTTAGAGATGTAGTGAAGAGGAGGCAGGCGACATTTGAAGCATAAGCCCACTGTCACTGGCTTTGAAGGTGAAGGGAGCCATGGACCAGAGAATGATGCTGGTCTCTAGAAGCTCCAAGTGATCCCTAGCCAAAACCCAGAAAGGAAATGGGACTGCAATCCCACAGCAGCACAGAACTAAATTCACCACCAACTTGAATGAGCTTTGAAACAGACTCTGCCCCAGAACCATGCCCTACCAATGCTTTGGTTTTCAGCCTGTGTAACTTGGTGCAGAAACACCAGCTAAGCCCACCGAACTTCTGACTTACAGAACTGTAAGACAATAAATTTGTGTTGTTTAAGTCACCAAGTTTGCAGTAACTTCTTATGGCAGCAATAGGAAACTAATACAATGGCTGAAGTTAGAAACTACAGTGTACAACAAGGAAGACAAAAGTGGGCAAAGATGGTATGGAATCTCCAAGGAATCACAGGAAGCAAAGTTCTACAATGGCTTTGTCTGTAACTATTAATTGAGTTGCAGACTATTAGCTTAATGACTGAACAGAAACAAAACAGCTTTCAAATTAACCAGAGACTTTAATTTGATTTTTGTGAAAAAAGCTTGTAAGTAATCAGATAGGCTGCGTTTCTCTTTTGTGTTTGTTACCTGTGAGTTTGTGCAGTGCAAGTATTAACTAGGGAGAACCTATAACTATGAAATGCTGTGTAATTCAAGAAGACGTCTTTACCACACAGTTGCTGGAAGACATTCTTCCCACTGATCATTTAACACTCACAAAAAATACATAACAAACGAAACTGAACTTTGAATCTATGGTTATTAAAACACAAAAGCACTAAGAGTCTGGTCTTTTTTTTCCCTTCCTGAAATGAATTATAGAAAATGATCCCAATTTCAACAGTTAAAAAAATTATTTTAATAGATAGATATGCAATCAAGTGCTTCGGTGGGTAAATGCATCAGCCTACGGGAGTTTTTTTTTCCAAAGATGGGCTAAGAAAGAATGAATGCAAAGCGTTCTTGAAAAATTTCTGAACAATTAATATCCAATCTTACATTTTCTTATGATTGTCATGGACACAAACTAATGGCTGTCAACTTTCAGTTTTGTTTGTTGCACTCAAAAAGTCACTGTATGATATTTAAGCATACATGATACAGAACACATTCTTCCTAAAACAACATTAAGATTACTATGCTTAGAGTTCACAGTTCTCTAACAATTTTACATTAAACACTCAAAACGTCATACAACCATAGATATTTGTGGTTCCTCTGGAGAGGAAGCTGTATTTTGGTACATTAAGGCATCTTCAGCCAACAGTTTAAGAAGTTCTGAATGCTGCAACAAAAGACAAATTTGATATTTGGATGTTCGATACTTTCAAGAAATTTTTAAAGTCCATTAAAATAAGAATACCATAATTTGTGAAACTGTGGTCTTAAACATTTTTACCCCTATATTCTTACCACATAAGACTTACCTGAAATCAAGATACTCATCCTATCAGTATCAAAGATATCTATTAAAAAAAAGGAAGGGATTTACATTAAATATGATGATAAACCCTGTATTTTAAGCAAGGGCCTTCACTTTCTCACACACATCTGTGAGGTAGGTTATTATCCACATTTTGTAGATTAAAAAAACTAAATGAGGTTAAATGACTTGCTGCTGTCAAGCAGCCAAACTGAGAATCAGATTCAAAATTAGATTTTGTTCTTTGCTCCGCATTATTTCTTTCCTTTACAAACTTTTTAAAGGGTTGAAATATAAAGATTGCTATTCACTGCATTCATTTTAAAAACATGAAAAGGCAGCCATACTTTTACCAAGGTGACTTAAAAAGTGAAGCAACATAAAACAAACAGAAAAACACATTTAGTGAACAATTTCTGACAATGAAAGTGAGGTCTGGCCAAAGGAACCTGAAAACAAACAGGCAAAAGCAAACAATGTGACTGTTTGTGGAGGACAGATTTAAGGAAAAATGAGAAGAATTAGGGAAAAAACACAGTTTAAACAAGTTTTTGACTAATTATTAGTCCTACAACTCAAGAGAAAAGGCACAATTAATTAAGGTGTTTTTGTTTTTTTAGTGGATCTGTTTTTTCCATCTTAGGAAAATGTTATCTGTATAGAAAAATGGACTTTCTTTGTAACAAAACTTAAAAAGGACTTTTAGCTGTGAAAAATGCATGCTTAAATTAGCAGCAAAAATTAAATATGCAGTTCTCCTTGGCTAGAATGTTCCTATTCCTTCCTTGAAATTTTTTTTTTCTTCAGTCTTTTTTTTAATACATCTTTATTGGAGTATAATTGTTTCACAATACTGTGTTAGTTTCTGTTGCCCAACAAAGCGAATCAGCCATATGCACACACATGTCCCCACACCCCCTCCCTCTTGAGCCTCCCTCCCATCCTTCCTTGAAGTTTTAAATCGACACAAAGTAGCAAACCGCGAATTAAGAAATTCCCACTGTATGAACCTTGTCAACATTCTCTGTATGTTCAAAAGAGCTGTCATGCTAGGATATTCTATAAGCACTTCACTTTTTTCCTGGAAAGAGCATTCTGCTCTCGGATTTCCTTAATTGCACTTTTTCAAATGTAACTTAAATTTACTTACCCTGCTTGTCCAAATAACCATGAGCTACTTCCATAACATCTAAGCTGCTTGACATATAAACGGTAGTTACCAGAAGTCACATATACGATCACGGCTGCAAACTGGCATTGCTATGCAGGCTGGCAGTAAACATTAACATTGGCTCATGAAATTAATACAGCCCCGCAGTCTAACTTCTAGACCCAGCCTGATTCTTATCAGGTTATGACTGAAAAAGTTTAATTAAAACTCAACATAGTCTAGACTGTGGGTCCTGTTCTTTATGTTATTACTGTTCAGTGGCATCAAATGCATTATAATTATATAGGGAAAGGCTGGTAAGGATGCCAGCAACTTGCTTAAATAAGATACACTTTTAAAAGCTCAAACATAAATTACATTTCAAATTTTTATAAGGTTTAAAAGACTCCATATCAAGCCAATAATAATTAGGTAGTTTGTGAATAGAAATATACTCTACGAAAATAGCATCTTATCATCTAATATGCATATAAAATGAAAAATTATCAATCCGTATATGAAATTTAGATAAGCCTAATTTAGATTAATAGTCAAAAACTATGATAATTTAAGATAGGAGTTGGGGCTAGTTTTACTTTCTAAAAAAATCTTTGCTATGAGAATCATATAAATAAAGTTAAAGGAAGAATCACGTCCTAAAAAGTTTCTTCAGTATTTTTTAAGCACCCCCAATAGCTTAGAAGTACTTAACAAAAATCAATATGCTAGTCATAAATGCTTACGATAATTACATCTAGTTAGTACGATCAACTGGTTCAAATAATTAAACTAAAAAATATTCAGTTAAGACTACTTCATGTCACTCTAAGACTTGAAAGCAATACATCTTTATTTTTATTACTCAACTATGCAGATATTTCAGTGATTCAGACTGTTTTCCCCTGGAGGAAGGGGGCATATAAAGAGCAGTGATCATCACTGAACACTTGTATGGCATTAAAGCCTCGTGAAGAGCTTTCTGGTCCTGCTTTCTCATCTGGAAAATCGTTAACTCACAAGGTTACTGTAACATATTAAATAAGTTAATAGACGATATGGAGGGTCTCTGGATCTAAAAATCACTATTAAAATGTATGGAACACTTCCATCACTCCAAATTAGTAATCTTTTGCTTTACGGCAAGTACACGTGACATTTGAACATGTTTGGTTTTCTGGATGATTTTTACCATTTGTATTCCAGGGAGGCAGCTGTATTTAGAAAAATATTTTAGTATATACCTTCAAAACACCTCGCCAAACAAATACAGATCATTCACGCTAGTATAAAATCTCTAAATGTGTAAAAAGTGAGCACTAATACACATCATATGAAAAGGCAGAGAAGACGGAACTTTAAAGCTGAAAGGTAGCTCGGAAGTCTTTTAATCTATCCCTCCCACTTTAGAGGTTACCAAAATGAGGCCCAACACAGGATGTGACTTACAAACAGATTGCACAGATCCCTCATCCAGAATTTTAGAGTTTCTGAGAACTATTATTAAAATAAATACATTCCCTATTTTTAAAGTCACAGAGTGACAGAATGATCGGGTAAAGAAGTGCCAAATTGAAAACGTGGAGGTCTTTAAAAAGAAATAAAAACAGACAAAACTGTGAACATGTCTAGCATTTAGATATTGAGATTTCACAGCCATTAACAGGATTTAAATTATTAACCAGTGAATAGACAAACATGCAGTGTCTACGGTAGGCACATTCCAAGATCTTATATTTTATAAATGGAAGGTGCATTGCTTATATTAACTCAATATACTGTACATTTACAGATAAATCCAAATAGTCAAAAAATCTGTAACAGTAGTCTATGGTTATCTTCTCAATTACGTCTCATCTAATAAAAAAATCAATCTGTATTCCCTGAGTACAAACTGGCTAGGGAATAAGAGAAAGCAAGCCCAGGATTCTGTAACTGTCCCAGGAAACCTATTTGCAGAAAGGGGAGAATTGTCTGTACTACATATAGCCAATTCCCTGACATGGAATACTGTTATTTCTGAATAATTTAGGCTCTTGGATTCTCTTTATAGCTGGCAAGTATCAAGGAATGCAAACACTAGTGGTTACAAAAGTGTCTCAAAAATTTGTTGATGAAAACAAAAGCCCAACTTATAATAGTTTGCCTCCCTCCCTCCCAACATATCTAATTTGGGATGTTGTTTGTTCCTTCATTAAAGAATAACAGGAATTAGATCTAAATATGGTGTTCTATATATAAAAGTATTTAGAAAATGTTCACTGACTATACTTTCTGAAAGTAAGAATCAATGTTATTGACTCATTACCCATAGAGCCATAAGCATTAGTTACTAGTCTCTTAGACAATTTTTAGAAGTAACCTTGTTTAAGGTTTTTCAGTTCTCCATTCAACACAAAAAAGAATAAATTTTGCTCTCCACAAAATACCACAACCTGATTAAGAAAATCAAGGTGCTATGAAACAAGTTGTAGACATATAAAATTCTACTAATCCAGCATTCACTCAAGATGAATATGTCTACAGGCTAAAATGAAATTATTCTGATTTTGAACCAGATTCTCTCCAATAACTGATAAGGGAAAAGGAAATCTTATTCTTATCTACCCATTATGGCAACCTGGTACAATAATTTTCTTAAAATAGTATTTTTCAAATATGTTTTTTCCCAGGGGATGGTAAGTTTAAAACCATGTTTACATTAATCTGGGCAAAGCAGGGTTAAACAAAGTTAAACGGTTTTCTTTTTTTCACAGAAGGACTGGTCAAAGGCTTTATGCCCACATCCTCTGTCATCTTCAAGCAGGAGAGTAACATGCATCATTTTCCAAGCTTTGCTCAATGAAACCCCTTTTCTACAGAGCATCTGACAGAATGCAGTTTGGGAAATGCTGTTCTAGAACCAGTGTGGACTCCATTTCCATGATATAGCTAAGACTTTATCTGTAGCCTAATAATAGAAGCTCTCCTCCAGAATCTTAACATGAAGAAACTGTTCCTACCCCAGGTCTGTCTACCACATACCATATCCACAATTACCCAGTTTACAAGACTGAAATGTGGGAATTTAGCAACTGATTTCTTTCCCTCTCCCTGCTCATTAGCAACAAAGAGTCTCCTATGAAAATGTTCTAGCCCTGTTATGCTGGGCTGAGCCTCCTGTAATCTTCTCTCTACAAACAAAGTACTACGCCATCTACATTCACAGAAGAGCTGTGCTCTAAAACCTTAAGGACACAAGAACCCAAACTGTGACCCTTGGTCCTCCTAAAATTCAACAGATGGCTATCAAAATGTAGATATTCATAAATACTGGCAAGAATGAGAAAATAGTAAATAACTTCTTAACTCTTAAAAAACATGACAGTCATCCATTTAAAGCAATTTTGATATAAGTTTCTAACATTTGATTCATTAGACTAAAGAAGCTAAAATGCCACTGGATTCCTTCCTACCGTTTCTCTGTCTTCAAAATTGTTAGGGATTTTGTCATTGGGAATAAGGAATCAGATTAATTCCTTATTTTGAAGGTCACCCCATTCATAGGCAAGTATTATGAGGTGGCCCTGTTTTTCCCTAAAGAAGTATTTACACATTTGTTGAGGCCAAAATTATGCCATACCTATATGCAGCAGGACTGCTTTTCCCTATAAAAATATTCACAAAAAAGTATCCTTCGATGCCACTAGGTGGCAATCTTTCAAAGGTTTAAACTTAACACGTCTTAACTGCCTGCAACCCCACCCTCTTTCCCAAATTGGCTAATAAGGATTCCTTGTATTTTGATATTAAGAAGTCAGGCTTAAAAGTTATATAACACCATCTTAAAAAAGTTCTGCAAAACAGTATGATGTGACGCACTGCAAACTCCTGACTCAAAGCTCTTTAAAGACAGACATACTTGTCTTTCATAAACACAAGAGAAATTTGGTCTAACATTCTCATTTGCTTCTTGGTAGAAAACACATTAATTTTGGCAAAGAGAAACCTGTCAAGGCAATGTCACTTTTTGTTTTCAAGAGCTTAATCTTTTATAGGGTAAGTCAGGTGAATGAGATTGTTAATTATAACATATTAAACAAGACAAATGAATAAATACAAATTCGATAAATTATACATAATTTTAAAATTAAATATTTTTACTAAAACAAAATATAATCAATGGGCTATTATCTACCCTGCTGTATATAGGTTTTTTGTTTTTTTAAAAGCCTTAAAAAAACCTGCACAAAGCCAAAAAAAAAAAGTTTGGTTTTTTCATTTAAAAGCACTGGTGCGAATACATATATGTATATATGTAAACAACACATATATTTACTCAAGAGAGAATTTTTTGAATGTTTAAGGCTTCCCTGCCCTACCAGGTTCAACAGTGAAAGTCACAGCCTACCAAACCTTGGAAGTACACAAAAGCCCTTAGGGCCAGAACAGTGTTTCAAACTGGATGGCTAGCAACCAAGATATAGAAGAAAGAAAGAGAACCAGAAAAGATTTCAAAGCTGAGTCAATTAGCCACTAAGGATCAAACAATAAACGAAGACAAAGGTGACTAGGGAAGGTGAGGGAGGGGGGTAAATACAGTAACAAACTTCTGATGAATAATTAGCATTATGGGATGCAACAGGACACACACATACACACAGCTCCACACCACCACACACAATAAGAGATCAAAGATAAGAGTTCTCTTTAAGAGACTGTTGACATTTTGCTTTGTTTCATTTAACTGTCTATTTTATCATGCTTGGTGAAGTACAAAAATAAACAGAGTGAAAAAGAATCTGAGAAACGTAGATTTTGAAGCCATGTTGTAAAATGATATAAGTTTATGAAAAAGACAAAGGTGGTTGCAATTCCATATGTTCCAGTACTGAGTGGAACCTTGAAGGCTCTTAAATATGTTATTCAGGAAAATCTCAAGATAAAACCTCTAGTTGGTTATAGCTGTTTTTAAGGAACCTGGAAATGACCGTTACCTGTTTCAGGACCACAGCCCTTCTGTTGAACACTGGGCAATATTTGCAAAAACTGCTAGCAGAACTTGGTTTCTGAAATTTGGGGGGCTGGCTCTTAGGATTTCAACATTTAATTACTATCTTACTAATGTTTGGGCTATTTTTTTTAATCTTCTTGTGCATAAACACAGCTTAAAGCCTGCTGAAATTTAGGAAGCAAACTGGATTTATCTACACTAAACAGTAAAGCAAGAAGATGTTGCCCAACCACCCTTTGACTGAGATGGTTTCCCAGTAAAGGGGTATTAATCACCTGTGGTGAATCCACAGTTTTAGATTAACAATAACCTTCATCGATGTTCACGTATTAAAGATACTACCTGTGTAAATTTATCAGAGGCAAAACAGAATCACAGATATCGACAGTAAATGAAATGTCAGACTTTTACATTTTCAGTCATTTCAGTGGTGTTGAGCGTCCCCTGGAGATAGTCACAGCTCTCAACCAGTACTGCAGAGTATGTGATATCCATAAGTAAAACAATAATTTAACGAATATATCTGATTTTCACAGTGCAAAAACAGAAAGATAGAAACTCAGGAAAGATCATCAACGGGCTAAAGTAGTGATCAGACTGGCACACATTTCAAAAAAATCCATGGTGTGACTGCCCAGGCGAGGTGGAACTGAAGACGATGTGCTTCCGATCAGGGAGCCCGTGAGGGAGCCAGAGAGCAAATGGCTCTCCGCAGTTACAGAATCCAAACTGGATCGCGGTCTGTGTAAGCCAGCAGCAGAGCAGGACCGCTGGGGCGTTGAGGAGCCAGACCTCTGCTCCACCACCTCATCTGAAATGGACCAAAGAAGAGCAATTTATAAGAAAGGTATATTTGCCCAAGCCCTTCCTATGAAGATACCTTATGCAGAATATTAAGTAAACACATCTGAGCAAGGGCAACCTGACAGCAAACGTCATGTTTCAGTGTTTTAGGAGCAGGGGTGGCAAAAGCTCTTCCCTCCCACAATCGTAACAGACATCACTCACCAATCTCAACACTCCCGTACGGTCAAAATGTGACTCCTAAATCCTTCTCAACATGGTATTCGACAGTAACCTTGAAATCAAACTGATATCCCTTTCATTTGAAGAAAGCACACCTTTGGAGGATTATTTTCTTGCGTTGTATCAATAGAAAAAAATCATTAAGATAAAAACAAAAGTTGCCATTGCACTGATCCTTCAGCGTACATTGCAACTGCCTAGGGGAAGGGGCAAGGGAAATCTTGTTTAAAAGGCAGATTCCCAGTTTCCCAGGACCCATCTCCAGAGATTCTGATTTGCTAGGTCTGGGAGAGTTCCTAAGAATCCTCTTTTTAATAAGAACTCTGGGTAATTTTGATGAAGGTGGTCTGGGGACCATATAAACACAGCTATAGTTGATGGCAGTTTAAGAATAAAGTTTAAATGCTGTTGAAAACAACTTCCCTAACTATGCACTCCGTTTTCCTCTGGTTCCATCCAGCGGTGGACTCTTGGTTTATTCTGCTTGTATCCCACTTGGGCCCCTGCGTGGAATAAGCACATTTGCTCAGCCAGGTTTGACTCTTGGCACACACGAGGTCCTTGGACATGACCACCTCCGTTGACTCCTCTGCCTCCTGGATGGCCATGGGCACCAAAATCCAGCCCAAATCTCAGGAAAGGCCTATCTGGAAACCTTGGCCACCCAAGATGAAAGAAGCTGATGAAGAATGAGGTTTAGATATTATAATGTTTACTGATAAAAGATGAATGGAGAAGTGTGACAAAGAATCTAACAACATCAACTAATTTTAGGTAAAAATTGCTTTCCTGTTGTTCCTTACTTTTCTCCACAGGCAACACTACAAATGACTATTTTTATACCAAGGAAGCACTTCTGTTGGAGAAGTGCTAGATTAGAGATTTTCCACGTCTTCAATCCTTTGTTTCACTTACATTTTTAGTTAAGTCTAGATTACTTAAAAACCAGTATAGAAGACCTACCCACCATGTCTTTGAGATGGTTTAATATCTTGTCAACTAGTGCCAAGTTTTATCTTCTCAGAGCTCATGCCTGCATGGCTTCCTTACCATCAATGCTTTTAAAGTCCAAAAGATAGCTTCTATTGTCAACTAGGTACAGCTGTAAGCTCATTTTCACATAATTGCCAGTCACTGGATTTCTTCTTCTTACACGGAGATGGTATGCATTCACTACCTAAAATGAAAAATCTTTAAGGAAAAACATTCGAAATAACAAACTGCAAAATATCTCCCTTATTCTTATTGCAAAGAATAATATCAAAACAAATAACTGATAGAGGTGGGGTAGAGAGGGAATTCCTGAATGATCTTTTTTTTTTAACATTACATAGTAGTTTAGTATTTATTTAATCCCACTAACAGTACTGTGTACAACAGTTAAAATTCAAAGGGAACTCAGAGACTCTAGAGAGTCCGGCCTTCTTTCCAGATATGCCTCCACTCTAAACCATCAGTAATATTTTGGTTGCCCAAAGGTATCAACTTGGATACCTTTACCTATGAATATAGAATAGACAGAAAAAGGACAAATAACATGTCAATGGTTTGAATCAGGAACTGTTAACAGGTACTGCCACGAAATTTAAGTATCGTAGTAATCTCGTAAAGAAGATACTATTTGCCTTTTGAAGATAATAAAACCACAACTCAGATAAAGAAGATTCTGGTTTTCAAAACATCTTATCAAATTAGTTCCAAAAATTTCTCAGTAAGAATTTTTTGTTTTTGCTTTTGTTTTCTTTTACGCGGGCCTCTCACTGTTGTGGCCTCTCCCGTTGCGGAGCACAGGCTCCGGACGGGCAGGCTCAGCGGCCATGGCTCACGGGTCCAGCCGCTCCGCGGCATGTGGGATCTTCCCGGACCGGGGCACGAACCCGTGTCCCCTGCATTGGCAGGCGGACTCTCAACCACTGCGCCACCAGGGAAGCCCCTCAGTAAGAATTTTAAAGACATTAACATCTCCTTTTAAACTAAATAAAACTGCTTCAGAAAAGGGAGATCTGTTTTTTTTTAATGGTTTTAAGGAAATATTATTTTATTCATTCCATGTACAAATAATGAAATAAAAACAGGTCAAATGAATATTTACATGATATGTTTGAAAATTTTTTTCTTCCGTTAAAAGTACATTCACAGTCCTCAAGAAAGGAACAAGAGTAAAAGATACCTGAAAGTAAAAAATTGATTTTTCCCCCACATACACTCGAATAGAACTGAAATGAATTTGAGTAATAAAAAAGTAAAATGTGGGCTGAGAATAAGAAAAATAAACTGCAACTAAGGACTAAAAGAACAAGCCAAATAAGACAGATTTTTCTCAACTTACAGAAAAGTATTTGTTTACTGAATAAATATGTCCTGATGGTATAATTTGTGTCAACCACTTGCTGTTACAGCTACTGGCAAAAAGAAAAAAACCCTCCCTTAAAAAGGAGAGAGAAAAGTAAAAACACAGTGTCTTTGAAGACACATGACTTTTTATTGTTATGATGCATGCTGAAACAGGTTTTCAAGAGATTTCTCAAGAGATTCAAGAGATTAAATTCTCTTGAATTCAAGAGATTAATTTCTCAAGAGATTTCAAGTTGATTAAAACTTTGTTTCTCAGCCAAGAATGCTATTCTATAATTAAAAAAATACATAGGTCCCCAACATTGACAGTTCTTCATCCTTACAGACATTTGTTTTGTTTTGTTTTGAATGCACATGGTACATTATTGGAAAGAATGGGATTTATCAGCCAGAAGCATCAAGACCACTAAATTCATATCTAAATCAAAAACAACTTTTTTTATTGACCTTAGTACCCAACTCAGCAGCTCAGAGCAGCTTACTACACAAAAAATGGCTTCTACAAATGATCTTCATATACTACAATTTCCTACCTTCCATTCAAAATCCAGCTGCTTCATAGCTCGGTAAACTTCAGCCATAATGTCATATGGTTTGCTTTGACTTCGGATTCCAAGATGCCACTTGGCTTTTTTCACAGCTAAAGATTTGGGCTTAGTTGTATTCAGTGCATCCAACGGACATCTTGCTTTAGGGCTGTCTGCTACAAGAGGTGGCATCCTTTCTGGATGAGGTTTCAGGCCTGGGGGAATATGCATGGCACTATCATCCATAAAAGAACCAGTTGGGGGACTAGAGGCGAGGTAGAACTCACTGGCTTGGTTCATTATTCTCCGATTGTCAATGATAAGATGATAAGCCACTGCAAGCTGGTCTTGAGGGTCACCACTATATAAACTGTTCATTACTTCTGATTCTGTACACTCAAATTTTTCACACACTTCTTTCACAGCCTCATCATCAATGACGTTAGCATCATAGGAGGGGTCTTCAGGAAATAAGTAACTGGGCAAATCTTGTTTAAACCATTCATGCTCTCTAGGAAAAATACCACAATACACTATTGTAAGAACATGCTTTGGCAAGTCCCGAACAATTCAGACATGGGGTAATACAATATAACAGAATCAGAAAGACCTGGTCTCTAGTCACTTACTAGCTATTGGACCCTGGGTAAGTTGATTCGTCCCTGCTCTTGAATAACTATGATTATTCAGACTTGGGTATTTGGCTGACATTTTCTCAAAAAAAAAATGAAATGAGCCTGTCACGTCAAAGGAAACAACTGGCAGTATTTGTTGCCAATCATAAAATTCAAGCTTTCAAGCAAAATGTTAGAATTTTGCATCATTTGTGTCTGTCTCCAAGAGTTTGACAGCTTCTCAATACTTAAAGGCTACTACATTTATCATGAAGAGGATAATGACTGTAATTTGATATTATATAATAAAATGTGTCACCATTTGGAACATCAGTCTACCTCAATAACCCAATATTTTCCATATGACCAATGCAAGATGTTACAGAATCATACATGGGCAAAAGGTCCACTCAAAATACAGACCAGACCAGTGGATTTTAATGTAATAAAGTACAAAAGTTCACTGATATGTTTTCTTATTTGATATTGCAATTAACATGTTAAGCTTTGGTTTAATATCAAAGAAGAATCTCTGTAACTATCTGAAAGGCTATGAAAATGTTCCTCCCTTTTCCCACCACTTATTTGAGATCCGATATTTTTCCCAGACTTCAACTAATACAACATATTGCAACAGATGACTGAAGAAGCAGATAATGAGAACCTAGCTGCTGTCTCTGATTTAGAGGATTTGAAAAATGTAAAAGACAGGTACTCTTGTCACCATATTTTCTTGTTTTGGAAAATAAGGTTATTTTTCATAAGAGACATATTATTCAGAATAACATGTAGTAGGTTCATTATTATTAAGTGAATTAAATATTTTTAAAATTTCTCAGTTTTGGTTTCTAATATGATATTGACAAATACGACCTATATTTAAAAAAGACTCTTTGGAGTCCTCAATTTTAAGACTGTAAAGGGGTACTCAAACCAAAATGTTTGAGAACCAGTCTCCTAGATCTTATTTTCTCACTCTTCTGGGCCTTTGCACATGATGTTACTATTGCCACCCTAGAATATCCCACCCATTTTCATTTAACTAACATGTACTATGCCTTCAAGATTGTGTAAGCATTGCTACATGGTAAATTGGGCACTCCCTAAGCTAAATTTCGATCAGTATACATTTTACCTGAATGCCTTCTATTGACTAATTCATTTATGAATATTTACTAAGGACATACCGTGGTAAAAAGGCACACTCCTTCTCACAGAAATTATATTCTAGCTGAATACAGATTAAACAAACACTCTCAAAAATGAATATATAGTTACAAATACACAAATATAAAAATCCTGTGATAAAGATTATGAGTGAAAAGTACAGGGTAAAATAAGAGTATATAATTCAGAATGGGAGGTAGGTGATTAAGGAAGCCACTCTCAGTAATATTTAAGAAGATACCAGAATGACTAGAAGTCAGCTAAGCAGAGCTGGGGAACAGGTATTCCCAGCAAAACAAACAATACATGCAAAGACTCTGAGATAAGAAAAAATTTTGCTACGTTCAAGGAACTGAACTGAGGCCACACTCATGAAATCATAATGAGTTACGGGTTAGAGTGGCAAAAGATATCAGGTATTTCTGACAGCTGTAGGCTATAAAAAAGGTCTTTGGACGAAACTATGGGTGATGAAAATAACTGAAAGATTTTAAAGAGACAGGTGTGACATGATCTAATTTGCATCCTGTAAAGATCATTCTGCTTGTGATAAAGAAATTGAATTGAAAAGATAAGAGTAATAATGAGGAGGAGGAGGAGGATGCTAGTGCAATAGCCCAAGTGAGAAATGATGGTGTGCCAGGCCTTGAGTATACACACAGAGATGAAACTTCTACAGCTTCTAGTAGATGATGCTATTATAACACTCATACTTTCTTATAGTTGTTACAGTTTTTTTTTCTTAATCCTCCCCACTAAACTGGGAACTCCTTGAAACAGGGACCATGCCTTATTCACCTGCATTCTAGTACCCAGTACAGAGTAAATGCTCAGTAAATGCAGAATAAATGATGAACAGCCAATGAAGTCAAAAATGAATTTATAAATGTGTTTAATTGCTATATCATGATAATAATAAGCACTTAAATAAATGTTTAGTAATAAAATGACTGGTGAATACTAATTTTTTCAAAAGAAATAATAGAAAAAAATTAATTGTTACACATCTAACATTTTTAAAATATCAATATCAAATAGGGAAGATGAACACTTTTGAATGAACTCCAAAAATTCATTCTTCCATAACAGAAATGAGATTACTAGTGAAAATTGTCAAAATCAACTTTTTCAGAACTCTGCAAATTAACCAAAGGCCTGTAATAATCTGAGGAGTGTTTGTTTAAAAAATTGGCCGAGTCTCAGTAAGAACAGCGAGATCTGTGACACTTTAACACATTTTTGACCAGAGACGTATTACAGCCACAGGTGTTAGTCTTAGTTTCTGCAAAAATCCCCCAGTCAATAAAGCGTTAAGTTACTCCATATCCATCTCCTTTCCCCATTTCTACGGTAGCCTTGAAAACCAACAGCCTCACAATCATTGTAGCCCAAAAAACCAGCATCTAGCAACCACTGGTGGGGGGATGGGGAGAAGAATAGGTTTAGAGTTCTCCAAAAGTCCTATCCCAAGAGAACTGTCGTTATTTGACATGGCTAGCAGATCTCTGGAAACCTCTACACTCAAGCCTTGTCTTCATCTGACCTGACTCAGAGCTCCCTCTACAAAGCCTTCTCCCCAGAACATTTGTCAAAAACAATCAATGGCAACTGTCTAACATCCCAGCTGCTAAAAGCAGCAATAAGAGTTGGAGCAAACAAGAAGCTCGTCAAATAACTAAAAAGGAAAAGTTAGGGAAGTAAATTCCATAGGGGTCCTTGAAATACTCTTACATAATCCTGGGACTCACAAATGCAGGGCTGTGTTCATTTCCAAGAAAGGCCCTGATTTCTCATCACTGGTTGACTTTGAGGCTCTGTGCTAGCAGGAATGAAAACAATTGCAGAGTTATGAGCTTTTCATTAAAGCACTGAGGACACACCCCAACATGCACACGAAGTCCCTCAGCAAAGGCTGGGAGACTTATTAGATCAAGGCCTTTAAGGAAAGCTTTGTCTAATCATTAGCTGACCATTAAGCTAACCAAGCAGAGACTTCAGTGGCCACCCATGACAAAGAATATAGACTTATGGAATTAGTTCAATAAAATCACTTAACAAACAAGAGCAACAACAACGTACAACAATTACAAATTCTAGGCATCTATGCAAGAGGAATAAAAACATATGACCATTTAAAAACCTATACATAAATGTTCATGGCAACATTATATAAGAGCCAAAAAGTGGAAACAACTCAAATATCCATTAAGTGATGAATAGATAAACAAAATTTAGTATATCTAAACAATGGAATATTTTTCAAGCAAAAAAGTAACGATGTACTGATACATGCTACACCATGAAAGAACACTGAAAACATCATGCTAAGTGAAAGAAGCCATACTCAAAAGGCCACATGCCGTATGATTCCATTTATATGAAATGTCCAAAAGAGGGAAATCCATAAAGACAGAAAGTAGATTAGTGGTTGCCAGGGGCTGCAAGGAGGAGGAAATGGGTATAGAGTTTCTTTGGGGGATGAGAAAAATGTTCTAGAATTAGACAGTGGTGGTGACTGTTTAACTTTGTGAACATACTAAACCACTGAATCATACAATTTAAAGAAGCAAATTTATGGTATGTGAATTATACCAATAAATGTTTAAAAAAATAAATAGAGAAGTAATCTAAATTTTCATTTCCAATTAATTCAGAAGAAGAACCACAGTTCTTCATAATAATAACAGTGCCGATTAAAAAGCCATACTTTGGGGCTGGGGGAGGAATAAATTAGGAGGTTGGGATTAACATATATACACTACTATATATAAAATAGATAAGCAACAAGAACCTACGGTATAGCACAGGGAACTATACTCAGTATTTTGTAAAAACCTATAACAGAAAAGAATCCGAAAAGGAATATATACATACATATATATACATATATGTGTGTGTGTAACTGAGTCACTGTGCTGTACATCTGAAACTGACATGACCTTGTAAATCAACTATACTTCAATTTAAAAAAATAATTATAATAATAAAGCAACCCTCCACGTGTTAAAAAAAAAAAAAAAAGCCATACTCCCAGCTTTTAATTTTCAGGAGTCAATTTCTAAATTAACTTGACCAAGGTAAGCAGTAACCAGGATGTTTATGAAGGTTCACCTGAGACAAAATCAATTCATTTCATATGGGTTACTACACAGCCACCAGAAATTATGTCTTTCTGTCACTATTGCCTAGTACCTGATTTTGATATATGACTTAAGACTAAATGAGTTATGATGACTACCAATCAAATTTTAGAAACTTCACAATGTGCAAACTTCTTTAAGTGCAGCTAAAAGGTCCTTATATATTCACTTTAAAATAATATTAATAGCTAATATTGTATGCTGGGCATTAGTCCAAAAGCTTTAATTATATTAGGATGAATGTTTGCAGTTTCTAATATTCAACTGTGCTTAGACCTACAGAAATAGTAAATTCATATGGTTCAACCTAAGGCTATCCTCCAAACAAATCCACTATATATGATGTAGCTAAAGCACGAAGAGTTATAAGGAATATGCCAATAGCTAGTAAACAAAGAATCAGAATTTGTAATTAGACAGTTGAACTTCAGACACTCACTTTTAACCACAATAACATTAACAGTAATACTAAGCTTACAGCACTTAAAGATGTGATTTTCCTGAAGACAATGTCTGTCTTGCCTACCAATATATTCCCAGCACCTAGCATAGGACCTTAAACAGAGTAGATGTTAAATAAATAAAAGCAAAAATGATTAAATGAACGAATAAATACTGAGATATATTTTCTAACCTCCAATAGCTTACCATCTTAAAAGACAAAAAAGATCTGTACAAAACTACAGGCATACCTTAGAGAGATTGCTGGTTTGGTTCCAGATCACTGCAATAAAGCGAATATTGCAATAAAGCAAGTCACCAACATTTTGGTTTCCCAGTGCATATAAAAATTACATTTAGAGTATACTGTAGTCTATTATGTTTGCAACAGCATTATGTCTAAAAAAGCAGTGTGTATACCTTAATTAAAAAACACTTTATTGATAAAAAATGCTAACCATCATCTGACAACACAAGGTTCCCACAAACCTTCAATTTGTAAAAAACACAGTATCTACACAGCACAGTAAAGCGAAGCACAGTAAAACTAGGTGTGCCTGTAACTATAAGACGGAATGTGGTAACATGAGAGAAATATAACGTATCATGGTATTTTGGAGAAAGGCTGGATGCCACAGAACTGGTGTGCCAAGCTGGATTAGTGGAAGTAGTACAGGTTCTGAATCAGGCAATTTCTGAGCCCTACTTCTGCCTGCCTCTTATTAGCTGGGTAATTTTCACAAATACACATTTACTCAAAACCTAATTCATATCAAATGCACAATGCCTAGAACATATTAATACTTGGTCCCTAATTTAAAGGACCCTAAAATTTAATAGGGACAAACAGATACATAAATCAAAACATAACCTTTCTAAGCTTCAGTTTCACGGTTTGTAAAATGAGAATAATAATAGTTACCTGTTAAGAATCAATGCAATAAAATATGTCAAGTACCTAGCAAAATACCTATTATATAATAATCGTTAATAAGTAGTAACTCTGTTGAACCATATTTTGTCAAATGAAGAATTCCCAAACATTAATAAACAGAATATGGATAAATAAAAAAATGATGAAAACTATAAATTCAAGTTATTATTTTAAGTACAGAGATGGTTGCCACCATTTTATACCACCTACATATGTGTAAATTAACTCATCCTAGTAGACTTTTATTTACATTTTTCTTCTAAAACTTGTAAAGATACAGACACCTGTTTAATATAGCAGAATCAGTACTTTTACTATTCTCAATGTATGTGCTGATACAAACAGGTGCAAGTATATATATATTAGCATACTTTTCTTTTCTAAGGAAAAGCCAATTTTCTTTCTAAGGAAAAGCCAATTAAGTGAACTATTTATTCTACAGGACTATGAACACAACAGAGTTTTTCCCTGCTAAGTCCATTTCCATAACTAAATCTGGTTCTAATTTACAATTTTACATTTTTAGGTATGAGGCCTGGAACACTGAGAGAGGCTGGGGGAAGAAAACAGTACATGAATGCAACGGGAGTGCCAAAGAGATCAGCAGCAGTCACAAAAACAACTACCTCAGCCACCACTGAAATGTTCCAAGAGTCGTATTCTGGCTTATGAAGACAAGGCAAAGTATTCTGGAAAGATGTCAAAAGAATGCGTTTGCAAATAAATACCTGATGAAATGTTAGGTGAGAACAAAAAACCCTCTAAGAAACATGACTGATAAATAAAAAGTAGAAGGCAATGAATCATCCTGACTTGTGTGTGCTATATAAAGGTCATATTCACAGTAACACCAGCAACTGCACTTTCCAAAGTTTCTCACATAACAAGAAATCCTTCTCAGCAAACCCACTAGCGGCTATTTTTGGATTCAAAATCTTAGCAAAAATTTTTATGGTTTATTTCATCAACCGTATGTAAAATATATAACTCTCACCCTGTTTTTCCATTTGAAACTTATTCAAATACTTCCTGAGTGTACACTATATTTCTAGGCCTTCTAGCACTGTATATACAAAGATGATAAGACACTCTCTCTACCCTTTTATAGTTACAAGAGAGGAGAAAGATACACTGAAAACAACTAGATACAGAATGAGAATGAAAGAATGAAAGCATGAACAAAATGTGGAAATCACAGAAGTGGAAGCAACTAAAACTGCTCAGGAGAATCAGAAGTGATTTCACAAGGAAGGTGATAAGTGAGCAGAATTTTAAAGGCTGAATGGAAATCTTTCAGGTCCAAAAATGCAGAAAAGGCATCAGAGGCAAAGGGAATAATATAAACAAAGACATGAGGCATAAAATATGCATTATGTTTGAGGAACAAGGAAAAGTTCACTGTGGCTGAAGCTCTGGTATAAGGGGTACGGCATTGAGCCTTAACTATGAAGGGCCTTGTATGCTTTGCTACCTAAACTGAAAAGTTTGGGAAACAATCTGAAATATTTAAAAGTTGAGTGACAGGATCAGCTTTATGTAATAAGGAAAGTAAAATTCGTATAAAATCAAGTGTTACAGTGCCTAACATAAAGCAGCCATTCAGGTAGTGGTACTAATATTAATACTAGAATACGTACTTAATAGCAACAAAAAGACTATTCACCTTATGTCTTTGATAGTTGCTCGTTTCAGGGGGTCAACCTGTAGCATATGCATCAGGAGAGTGGCAACAGAACGATTGAGATATTCTGGGATATAAAAAACACCCCCTCGGATCTTCTTAAACAACGTAGGCACATGCTCATCATCAAATGGGAGGGTGCCACAGAGAAGAGCATACAAAATAACACCGCAGCTCCAGATATCAACTTCAGGACCTGCATACAATCTAGGGGAAAAGATGACAACACAAACCTGAAATGCAAGTGTCACTTCCCATCTACGTGTACCCTGTTTCTATATGTGCCTATATACACAGTACAGACTGTATATGTATTGCTTTCCAAGGTCTTTAGTGAAGTCCGTGGCCACTCCACAACACTCAATGGTTGTTCCCCAGAAAGAATAAGTGATCTAACCAAATACTATTCAAATTTCCCAAGAGAAAACAGTATTTTTATTTTTTGACACAAACTAAACTGAGCTTACTAATTGACTAATTAAAAAATATAAAACTTTCTATGGTTGATTTTTGACAGAAACATCGAAGTGGACGACCATAAATTTGAAGAAAAGCAATGCTATATAGTGTATAGGCTAAATCTTCTTACCATAAAGCTATTAAAAGAAAATGCATATATAATAGAATGTTTATGCCTGGCACACCTATTTTAAAGAATATTTGGAATAGTAAAGTACCTAACTAGTCCTACTGCAATCTCTTTCACAGTATTCATGCTGTATCACATTATCCTGGGTACCTACTACTTTCATTCCAACCACTTGGTAGCCCCTGGGACTAAGATTACCTCTATCCGGAAAACCTATGCCTAGAATGTTATTCCTTTTTCCTCTCACCTTTCTACATTATTAAGATTCCACTGATAGCACATTACCAAACTCAAACCTAAGTCTGAGGTAACAAAGTAGATCTCTACAATTCCAATTAAAAAAATACACTCCATTTCAATAAAAATTGCTGTCCATTATTTATATTGTTTGCTGTAGAGTCCAAACTGCTCTATCTGCAATAATACCTTTTCTTTATTTTCTCTCATAGAATTCTGTAAACTTTTAAAATCAGACATTGGTCACCATAGAAGACTTGAATTTATCACTGCACTCTGTATAAACATTTTAAAAATGTACCAATGAGTAAGTTACATGAATAAATTACACGGTCTTCTCTTGTGCAGTTAACTTCATGAAATGACAATCCTGTCCCCCCAGAAAACCTCATTCTTCTAAAGACAAAACATAAAAATAATACTCTGTATGCTTTATAAAAGAGTATATACAGAATTATTAAAGGACTATGTCTGAGAAGTAAATAATGACACTAGCTTAAATGCAGCAAATGCTTGCTCTCCTAGCTGCAATTTTCTAAAATGAAAAAAATAAATCAAGTTTTGTTTCAGTTTTTAGTGGAAAAACTCCTTAAATACATTCATAACAAAATCTAAATCAAATGTTTTAAAAAATTGTTTAATATAAGTAATCTCTCTTCAACAATAGAAAAACTAAAGGGACAATATGTTTCTATTATGTTAAAAATCTTATCTTCCAAAGAGAATGTATTATAGTTAAATGTTATCAGAATGAACAAAGCATTACAAAAAGCTTACTCTTCACTGATATATTATTACCTGCCTGAGATGACTTCAGGTGCTGCATAATTTGGGGAGCCACAACTAGTTCGCAGAAATTCACCATCTGACATCATATTAGATAATCCTAAAAATAAGAGTAATATGTTTACCTGGTGCTGCATATGTTTAAAACTAAATACAGATAAATGCATAAGGAAAAACGTCAAGTCTGTAATGCCTCACATATCATAATGTTTATTTTTAAAAGCAGTAGAAAGCATTTGTTGGACTAGAAAGACTCCATTTCAGAGTGCTCATACATGACAAAAAAGCCAAAGCACACCATGCCTAAGATTGAAATTAAACTCCTTTTCTAAATAAGAATGTTGATTCACTTCACAAATATGAGGTTATTCTAAATTATATGAACTTTTCCAAACATAAAAGCATCAAAATATTATTTACCCACGTCTGCAAATGAAAGAAAATAGAGACTACGATTACTTTTTTATACTCTGCTTTCAAAGGCATTTTTAAATATCTCTAAGTAGAAATCAGATAGGCTCCAATTTATAAATATTACGTTCCAAAAGTTTTTAATTTGCAAAGCTTTAATTCAACATAGAAAAACATTCCATTGAGCCAGAAATCTAGCTGCACTACAGCAGTAAATGAGCTTTGTGATTTAGAGAAGGAAGAGAAATAGGAAAATGACTTCCCTGGCTTTTAGATTAAAGACAAGGTACAGACAAAAATTTTAAATAAGTAATGCTGAACTCTGATACCTTTTCATCTCTTTCTATAATCTCTCACTTTCTGATCCTCTCCTCTACTATGGCACCCTGTCCAGGTATGTTTATCCCAGAAAGTGTTTGGGGCATAAAAATTACATTTTACTCTCTTATTTTACCACCAACAAAAACTCCTATTCTTCTACCAAGTTGTTACCTGTTACCCGTAGTCCACTGACATTCCTCCTCGATCAATTCAGAAGGACTGCAATGCTCCAAACTGCGTGCAAATTTTCATGTACTTCCATTTAAGTGTATTTATCAGGGCAAATGCCCATACTTTCATTAGATTTTCAAAGGAGTTTGTGGCCCTCACAAAAAAACAGTTAAGTCTCATTTCCTGAGGAAGCAATACAGATTGAGTGGATTTACCTTGACGCAAGCCCTCTGAATGTCTCTAGAAATACTTGCATTTTTAAAAAGTGGTTTAAATGAATAGAGCAAGCTAGTGTGCAGACTGTCCAACTAATCCCTTTTCACGGTATAGGATTTACATCAACGAAGCTGAAAGTTCTTAGTTCATTAAGAGTTGGTACTGACACACCTGCAAAGGCAGCTAGCACACTTCTAAACAACCCTGGAGTTGCATACCAAAATCAGCTATCTTGGCATTCATGTGTGCATCCAATAGCACGTTCTCTGGTTTCAGGTCTCGATGAACGACCATATGCCTGTGACAGTAATCCACGGCAGACAGAATCTGCTGAAAGAGGCGCCTGGCTTCCATCTCTTCAACCTATCAGGTATAAAAGAAACTGCACTAAGAACATTTGGGACATCTACATAGCAAAAGTTTTAGTTCCATAATCAGCCTAAATATAACTGAGTACACTAATTAGAACTGTGCCAGAATTCTCAACAAATGAGACAAGCAAGCCAAAAACTTGCATTCAAGCTCAACATGTCAATCAACAGGTTTTTCTTTGCTGCTAGGCAGTTCATTTTCAATTAATATTACTAAGTGTGCACAGTGTTTCAGGGAATCAACAAGTAAAACATAATCTAAAACAGAACTTACGTGAAATTGCTAAGAAAAGGAAATAACTGAAGCTTCAATATGATGTTATGGAACAGATTTTTCATTTTGAAAAGCACAGGCTTTTCACGTTGGCAATTAAGTGGAATATATTTCCTAAAATCAGTATTTCATAAGGCGTACTTTCTAAGGAAAAATATATCTAATACTCTGTATGTTTAGTTAGACATTATTACAGAAGCAACCCCGACTCTGAAGATACATTTGTGGTTTGCTATTTCTCACTACTTTCTTCTTTTTTAGCTTAAGGGCTTATTGTGCTAAACAGCATGTTACTCACCCGTCCATGTTTACAGATGTAGTCAAATAATTCACCACCAGACACATATTCCATTACCATAAAAAAATCTGTTGGAGTGCTGATTACCTGGTATCTTTTTTGTAAATGAAAAAATTTAATAAAAAATGTTACTTTAACCAGAATCAACCTAGTACATCCATTCTTGCTATAAATTGATATTCCAGTATTCTACAATATTTTAAGATGGCAACAAATTATATAATGTTATCAAAATAATCACAGAGCTATAAACACGGAGCTTCACAAAACTCAATTACTTCCCAGGGCTTACAGACTTCCCTCCAGATCCCCCCTTTCATGTTTACAAAATTTAGGAAATCCTTCATTCCTCAACAACTAAATTAAGCATCAATTTTTCCATTTAAACAAAAATTTGTTTGTAGTCTCTAGAGATGAGGTAGCTTATATTTAAACATAAGTGAAAAATATTCTTGGAAAGGTAAAATGATACCAAAAGGGATACAAATCAGCAGAATCTATAAAGTAGACAAATGATCCTTTCCTCAAAAAAATGAAATGCAAAAAAAGGGAGGGGAAGGTATAGATTAAAAGCAAATCAAGAGACATACTGACCAATTATACTGTATAGACTTGTTTTCACTCCAGTTCAAACAAACCAACTTTAAAAACCATTTATGAAACAATCAAAAAAATCTGAATACTGACTGGATAGTTCATAATATTCTAACTGTTTAGGTGTGATACTGAACTGTGCTTGTTTTATTAAAATAGAGCCTTTAAATTCCACAGTAGATACTGAAGAATTTACAGACTAAAAACATACTATTTGGGATTTGCTTCAAAATAATTTGGGGTGGGAGAAGCAGGAGGAAGCAGATAAAACAATACACTAATAACTGCTGAAGCTGAAGGACAGATAAATGAGGCTTAATCACTTTACTGTTGTATTCATTATGAAATTTCCATAATAAAAAATTAAATAGATGTATGTATTTACGTATGTGTATGTGTTTATGTGTGTGAAAATATATATGTATGTTTTCTAGGCACTCAAAGCTGAGCACATAAAACAATAAAGAACCTTAGCTCTATTTGACAAAATAAAATTTTTCCTAAAAAACTACAACCTCCACATACACACACAATTGTACCAGAGTTCTGAAAACTTTAAATACAAGTTAAATATAACATGAAGGTTGCATTTAACACATATAAAAGAAAAATTGTTCTACTCTGCTTTATTTATAAAAAATTATTTATAATCTGGTTAATCACGAGCAGTATCTAATTTACACTGAGTTGCTATTTAAAGCCACTAAGTGTAGCTGGCAGTTCTGCATGCCTTAAAGGCACCCAGTGGAAGGCACAAGCAGGGGCTGAGAAGTGGCTCAGATGCCCCCCTGTAGGCAGTATACCTTGACACAGGGTGTGCCAGAAGCAGGGGAACGTTTTGGTAGTAGTCCACCCAGATGGGGCAACTTTTATTATTGATGAGCAAAAAAAGAGAGTATGTTCTAAATGGCGGTTCTGGTTACTAGTCTTCATTAAAGAGGAGGGAAAAAATGACCAGGAAGTTGGTGATATAACTATACACTATATATTTTAAAAGAGGACACATCATGCATAAATTAAACACTTGGAAAAAGTAAGATATTAACACAACACTGTAAATCAACGATGCTTCAATTAAAACAATAGAAAAAAGTAAAAATTAAAGCTGTAGTATTGAAAATGATTACAGACTTTCAGAAGAAATATTTATAATAGCCATCGTCAGTCCTGGGGATGAAAAATGACAAGGTACCCCACTTCACACAGAATAAACTACTATAACTGGCAAATAAGGCTGAGTCTACTTCAAATGAACTATGAAAGGGGAATCTTCCCTGAGAACTCGAGAAAAAAGATGGTTCTGTAAGAGCAATCCTAACAGGCAGCAAACTCTAATTGAATAAAATGAATACTGAGGGGCCGGACCACCCGCTGTGTCACTTCACTGTAGGCTGATCTCATTTAGTAACAGAATTCTCAGTCACTTTTCTGCTCTGTACATCTTTGGGGTAAAAGAGAAAAGTGATGCAATTCTAATAAATGTAGTTGCTGATTCCTCCGAGTATATTACAGTCTTCAGTAAATACTGTTGGATCCAGAGGCCTGACCAGATTTCAGTTTGATTTTAATTTTCTTCTTAAAGACTAGATGGTGGTATGTGCTTCCAGCCACAGGTGTAGGATATCTGTCTCTTTTTTGAGATATTAGCAGTCATTACTGATCACAGTCTAGATTTTATTAACTCACAATGAAGTTTTAAATGCTGGCCAATTTCCATAGTCTAGTAATGAACTACGGTCTAAAGGAAATGCTCCCTCAAAAACCCCACTGTCTGAAGTGCAGGCCACCAGATCACACTACCCAATACCTTTTCTTGTTATAGTCATCAACCAACCTCGTTGTCAACTCCCTCCCATTTTGACTTAATGTCTCCTTCCCCACTGCTAATGCTGTCATCATTCCGGGTGAACAAAATATCCGTCTAGATGATCTGTCCAATACATGCCCTCTAATTTCCTTCACTCCTCAGTTCTAACTCTCTTTCCCTCTACCACACACAATGACTCATTCCATGGTCATATACTAAGACTAACTCCTCCAATTATGCACTGGATTCCTTTGCCCCACCTACTAAAGGACTTGGTTTCTACAATTAGCTCTTCCTTCTCAGCCTCATTTTACTCAATATTCAGCAGTATAGCAACAGTTAATAATCTCTCTTTCTTCAAACACATTTTCCCCTTGGCTTCAAGACGCAAAATTCTCTTGGTTTTCCTCCAATCATTTTAACTGTTCACTTTCATTCTCCTTTGCTGGTTCCTCCTCATCTCCCAGACATCTTAACATCATACTGCCATAGAGATCAATCCCTAGAATTCTTATTTATTTATATGCACATCCTTGGTGACATCATCTAGTCTTTGTGCCTTAAATACCTTAAATACCATCTATACGCTGATGACTTCCAAATTTATCTCTGGTTTATACCTCTCCCCTTAACTTCAGACTCACATATCAAATAACCTACTTGCATCTCTACTTGGATGCCTAATAAACATTTCAACTTCAAAAAAACCAAAATCGAATTCTTGATACCTAACATCCCACTTCAAACTTGTTCCTCCTACAGTCTTTTCCATTTCAATTAATGGCAACTCCAGTTTTTTATTTGCCCACGCCAGCTAACCTTGGAGTCATCCTTGACTTCTCTCCTTCCACAGCCTCCATCTAATCTGTCAGCAAACGCTGTTCTCTATCTTGAAAATATACACAAAATATGCTTATTTCTCAACACCCTCCACACTATGCTCTATTCCAAGCCACCATCTCTTTTGCTCAGAATACTGCAATTGACCCCTAACTGATTTCCCTACTTCAGTGTAAGTCAGGTCACATCACACCTCCGGTCAAAACTTGCCAATGGCTTCTCTTTTACTCAGAGTTAAAAGCCAAAGCTCTTACAGTGGTCTAGTATATCCTACACAATCTGGCTCCCCTTTATGTCTCTGACCACATCTCTTACTCCAATTCCTCCTAGATCACTCTGCTACTATGATCTACCTACTACTGCCTGTAGCAATTTCCACCTCAGGGCCTTTGTATGTGCTGTTCTCACCATCTGGTATCTCCCCCTCCAGATATCTGCATGCATATTCCCTCTCCTCTTCACTGTCTAACATACAGCGTATTTTACTGACATAGCATTTATTGTCTATCTCTTCAACGCCACCCACTACACACACACACACACACACACACACACAGAAATATGAGCTTCATAATATCAGAAATTTTGTTGTTGTCTCTTTTTGTTTGCTGCTGTATCCCCAGTACCTAAATGGTACCATTTGTTGAATGAATGGATCAACAAGCTAACACTCCGGCCTTATTTTCCTCCATCTCCCTATACATACTCTGTACATGAGACAAACCAGACTGTTTGTTCCCACCACACCATGCTCTTTACACTTTCATTCTTTTGCTTTGCTGTCCTCCTAGAATCATCAGGACCTTGTTCACATGTTACTTCCTTATATATGCAGTAAGTAATCACTGAACACCTAGTATTATACTAGGTGTTGGAGAGATAAAGATGGTATTGGACATCTCCACTTGGATATCTAATGGGACTTGGCTAAAGCCACCATTAATCTGTCAGCTGGACCATAGCAACAGCTTCCTAACTGGTCTCTCTGCTTCCACTTCTGCCTCTGTACCCATTCCACACTATGGTCATATCATGTCACTCCCCCAGCTCTCTGAAAGCTTCCCATTTTGAACAGAATCCAAAATCAGCAAGGTCTTCAAGATTCTATGATATGTGGTCCATGTCTACTCTCTGACCTCATGAACTACCTCTCTTTCCATCATTCACTCCACTCCAGACATTATAGCAATCTTCTTTTTCCTATAATACTCGAACTTTGTTTCAACCTCAGCAACTCTGAGGTTGCTGGTCCCCTTGCTTTAAAAACACTCTGCCCCCCGATTTTCAAATGGCTAGATCTTTATCATCCTTTAGGTCTTAGCTCAAACCTTACCTCTCAGTGAAGCTTTCTTAACAACCCAATCTAAATTAGCACCTCCTCCTTCCTCGGCACACCCTAGGACCGCACCCTGTTTCACTCTCCTCACAGCACTTATCAGTGCCCAAAATAGTCTGGTTAATTTGTTTACTTACTATCGAGAACTGCTAGATACCCCTAGAACATAAACTCCACAAGGGCAGAGACGCTGTCTTTTACCACTGTACCCCCAATGCCTTACCTATCAGATACTAGGTGCCCAATAAAAATTTGCTGAATAAAAGAAAAAACAAACATAGCTTCTGCTCCTGAAGAATTCAGTCTCGTGGCGATACTAATATGAAAATGACCAATTACAATATAATGCCCAGGACTTTGGAAAAGCTGAAATTCTGGGTGCTCCAGGACCGAGAGGATGAAACCTAACCCAGTGTTAGGACTAGGGCAAAGTAGTTTTTCTAGAGGTAGTTGCATTTAAAAGCTGATATTTAAAGGATGTTGGAATTGGAAGCCTAGAGGAAGGGAGATACAGGTAAAGTTTTCCAAGCAGAAGCAACAGTTGAAATATAGCAAGCAAGAGAAGATGGTGACCTGACAATAAGAGCAGAGAGAAATGAACAGATTTAGGGGACACTCAAGATTAAGAGTGGCAGAACTTAATGATCAATTATATGTAAGGGGCGAGGGAAGAGGAGTTAAATATGATGCCCAAGTTTTAGGCTTAGGAAGCTGTGTGAATGGTATTTGCATTCACACACAAAAATATGTATATATGGGATAAAAAGTTCAACTTAGTTTCAGATGACTCTGTGACTCCAGAATGGAAACACCCAATAAATAGTTCGATAAATGTATTCAGAATTCAGGAGCAATATAGATTTGTAAATTTTTAAGATAGAGATGACTAATGACATCCAAAAAGGGTTCATTAAGATTACTTTAGCTCAGAATGCTGAAATACATCAATATCTAATGGCCAGGCAGATAACAAGGGACCCAGAATAGAAAGTCTCAAGAAGAGGCAAGAATGTAAAAAGAAAATCAGAAGACTGTGGTGCCATGGAAACCTAGAGGCTACAACATTTCAAGGTGGTAGTGATGAATAATGTTAAAAGCTGTCCGTAGGTTGGAAAAGATAAACATTTTTAAGAGTTGGCAGGCAAAACCATCTCTGCCAAATTAGAAAGTATTGATCCTTTGACCAGTTAAAATGAAGTTTCCCTAAGAACCATGGGGGAATGATAAACAAGGACAAAAGTCATTTCAACAAATTCTAGTTCATGGGAAAGTTTGGAGTTTCCTTTCAATCCTGTTTATTCCTTTTAATTTTCTCCCAGTGGGGTTTTTTCAATTGGAATTAATAGAGAAATTGTGCAATATATAACCTTCATTCTTAGTATTTACTTTTCAAACTTTCTTGCTTACTCTAGAAGCCCATTCTGTAGCAAGGAAACTATTCTTGGCAGTTAGTCCAAGACTGCAGAGAACAAACAAAACGACTAAAAGGATCAGGTCTCTCTCCCTGTTTAAATCACTAACGCTGTTAAAGCCTATGTCAGTAAGCTTGTTGTGTAGCAAGAATACATGAGTGCCTTTTTTTAAAAAATTCAGATCCACAATTAAAGAGGAAATGTGGCAGAATGGATAAGTTCAAGGCTGGAAGCCAGAAGCTTTAAACATTAAATTCACCTCTGCCAATTACCTTTGAGTAATATTGAGAACATTCTATAACTCCTTCACAAAACAGCAAATAATTAAATAATTCTAAAACAGAATGATATAAGTAATCAAACCAAAATCAAACAATTATAAGTAATTACAGAAATGGAAGGAAGAAAACACTAGTAGTTATAACATCAAAAATAAGCTTCTAAATCCTCACGACAACTGCAACTGCTTATTGACAAAATCTGATTTGTGTTTATAGGAACAGAACAGGAACTAGAACTCATACCCTAAATGGACAAAGGTTCCCTGGGATCTTTCAGGGTTGGCATTCCAAAAGTGGTGAAGTCAGGAAACAAGGAAAATACAGAGATCTCTCCCCTCTCCATTCTCACTTTGGCACGTGACATTTTTAGTCTGGTTTCCCAGTTTTCTCCTCTTATAGGAAGTGACCACTCAGTAAGGAAGAGCAAAGAGACTTAGCTTAGAAGTAATTCAGTAACTAGAATAAAGTCATTACTAACATGGAGCTGAAGTCAGACATGAGCTGTCTCAGTTAACTGAAAATCATTCGGAATCATGAGAGGACTGGAATCAGCTTGCAGCCTGCCAATTCCTGCTTCTGGGCCAATGCGCAGCTAATAGCAGGCATTGTAACAGTGAGGACACATTTAATCCTCAAATGGCACCATGGGGTATCCCCATTTTAAAGTTAAGGAAACAAAGAATATGAGAATGAGTCACTGAACTCATAGGTGATATTCTAATTCCTATGATAATCTTTAAAAGCCTGTATATACATATTCTGGATTATCTAGAATGCAGGTCCTAGACGACAACCTCATAATAAGTACTGACATACAATTGCAGAGGCCTCATTTCCTGTTTACGTTTATGATCAAGTGAACTTCAAATGAAGATCAAATGACACTGAAGCTTACTGTTAGAATGAAGTTTTCATCATAGTGATGTGAGAACGGAGTCATCACAGGTCACCCAATGGCACACCAAACCCAAAGAAAGCCTTCTTTGAACAGTCAGTGACATATTCATGCTGTTGGTAAGATACACTGAGTGGGACCCTCATTTAACATACCAATTTGCAATGGTTCTCTAGCAATAAATGTATCTAGTTATAGAAATACTATAAATACTAGAAATATATAAATGCATGTTCCAAATCCCAGCAATAACTGGATCAGCCATTTAAGGATTTCAAGAATGCTACTGTATTGGTTTCCTATTGTTGCCATACTTAGTGCTTAAAAAACACAAATGTATTCTGTATTATCTTACATAGGGGTAAGAAGTCTGATAGGGTAGAAGTCTGACACATGCCTCACTGGGCTAAAAAATCAAGACATAGCAGGGCTGCATTGCCTTCTGGAGGCTCTAAAAGAAATCCATTTCTTTGTATTTTCCAACTTTTAGAGACCATCTGCAATCCTTGGCTCATGGCCCCCTTCCTCCATCTTCAAAGCCAGCCACAGCCAGTTCAGTCCTTCTCATATCCCATCACTCTGACCTTGCTTCCATCCTCAAATCTCTTCCTCTGGCTTATGATTCCCTCTTCCACTTCAAAGGACCATTGTATTACACTCGGACCACCCAGATAACCCAGGAAAATCCCCCTATTTTTGTCAGCTGACTAGCAACCTTAAATCCATCCATAACCTTGGACTTCTCCTTTGCCATGTAATATAACATACTCACTGGGGATTAGGACATCTTGGGACTGGGGGACACTATTCCCTACCACAGCTACTACGCAGCCTTGTTATTAGGTAAACAACATACCTCTAGAGGGTTATCGAGTAGCTCCCCATCAATGCTGACATCTAAAGATTACTCACTAACAAAGTTTAGGCTAAATATAACCTCTGACTATAATGACCTAGCAAACAAAGCCTCAAAGATATTAATACTACTGCTTGTCATCTCAGTTTTCTCAGTACTGGAGTAGAAATTAACAGCATGGCATTTGAAATCAGATATGAACACAACTACTAGCTCTGCAACTTACTAGCTATTTAACCTTGGACAAGCTGCTGATCCTCTTTAGACATGCAATTTTCTTATCCATAAAACGAGGATAATAATACTCCTTATATGCTTATTGTGAGAATGAAGTGAAATTAGGTATGTAGAATGCTCAGTACAGTTTCTAGCCATTATCAGGTAGTCAATAAAATTAATATTTATTTTATTAAACTCTATCCAAGCTTTAAGATAAAAGTAAAGACAGTTTTCAGTGTTTAGCATATTACATTTTTGCAGTAAATATTAAACATAACTTCAAATGATGTAAAGGAACACTGCTGCATACTTAATGTCTGAATTTTCTATGGGTCTAGCTGATTTTAAATTATTATTTACCTTTCAATTTAATTACTTAGTGTATTTATTAAACTCTTAATTTACTTATCTTCTAAGTTTGTAACTTGTCTTATCCAAAAAGAAAAAAATTCATTTGCCTTCCTAAGGGCTTTACGATCAGTAATTAAAGTAATGATTGCAGTTTGGCAAATAATATTCAATACTATGGCAGATAATCTTTAATAGTAACTTTCTACCTTTTCCATAAAGAAAATATCTTGGTATGTTAATTAAAAGTGACTAGAAAATAATTATAAAAGAAATCTAGAAATAGCAAAGTACTAAATGACCTTCAACACAAATATCAGCGATGAGCCAATTTACAATTAGACTTTTGATTCTAAACCAGAAGTATGCAAAAAAGGATTGATGAGGTTAAATCAATTAACACTTGCTAAATATAAATATGAAAAAATTGTATATTTATAAAAGTTTAACTAAAAATAATTATTAAATATAATATTTCAAGACAGTTTCTCTTTTATATTATCAAGTGCAAAAATACTTACAGTTTGATAATATGAGGATGACGAAAGAGTTTTAGATTTTGAATTTCTCGTTTTATTTTTCCAACAACATCTAAACTGCGAATCTTCTGTCTATTTAAAATTTTAACTGCCACCTTATGGCCTGTTAATTGATGTTCTCCAACTAGAGAAAAGAAAAAGGAAAACAACCTTGCTGTCATAGCAACATAATTATTTATTCATGCTTCCTTCCACTGTAACTCCAAACTTCTTTACTCATATATGCCTCTTTGATATCATTTATTGCATAGAACAGAAGATATCTCTTTTCATGTCTGTCTCTTCTATTGGAGTATGCGCTCCTTGAGGACAGAAACTATATCTTAGTCTCCTCTGTATCCTCAACACCTAGTACAGAGATGTTAATTAAATCTTTGTGGAAAGGATGACTGAAGTCCAAATTCTTACCTAAATGTATAATCAAATTTGAAACATCTTTTGTATAGAATAGAATAGAATTTACTATGTTTTGTTAATCTCTTTCTTTCTCCTCTTCTGGTTAATCCAGTCATTGTGTTATTGAAGAATAAATAATTGCTATAATAAACTAAAACTCATAACTAGTTTCAAAACTATTTCATCAGAAAATCCACAAGTAACCCTTTTTTTTTTGCCTTTTCTATAAAGCTTTCCCATTTTCACCCTATTTGATGGAATCTCAAATGATGTAATACTGAGGGTTTGAACTTCTTTCAAACCCTCACAGTATATTTATAAAGCTCATGTGTCATTCATCATTTTGAGGCTATTTTATATATTTGTATTTTTGAAAAATCACATGACATGAGCTATTAGCTCTTACCCTCCTTGAATAAGACAGTCGGTATTCATCTGAATCTCCTAGGAAGTATATAAGTACAGTATTTTGTACATACTGGATGCATCATACTTCCTGATTTCAAACTACATTACAAAGTTATAGTAATCAAAACAGCACAGTACTGGCATAAAACCAGACATAGAGATTAATGGAATAAAGAGCCCATAAATAAACTCATGCATATAAGGTCAATTAATTTATGACAAAAGAATCAAGAATATACAATGGGGAAAAGATACTCTCTCCAATAATTGGTGTTGGGAAAATTGGATAGCCACATACAAAAGAATGAAAATAGACCCCTATCTCACACAGTACATAAAAATCAACTCAAAATGGATTAAAGACTTAAATTTAAAACCAGAAACCATAAAACTTCTAGAAGGGGGTAAGCTCCTTGATATTAGTCTTAGCAATGATTTTTTGGGACTTGACAACAAAAGCAAAGGCAACAAAAGCAAATATAAATAAGTGGGACTAAATCAAACTAAAAAGCTTCCGCACAGCAAAAGAAAACATCAACAAAATGAAAAGGCAACCTACTGAATGGAAGAAAAAATTTGCAAATTATATACCTGATAAGGGGTTTTAATACCCAAAATATATAAATTACTTAACAACTTAATAGCAAAAAACCAAACAATCTGATTTTAAAAATGGACAGAAAAACTGAATAAACCTCTTGCCAAAGAAAGTATACAAATGGCCATGTACACAAAATCATCAGGTAATCATCACTAACCATCAGGTAGATGCAAATCAAAACCACCACCACAATGAGCTATCACCTCACACCTGTCAGAATGGCTGTCATTAAAACTGAAAAGATAACAAGTGTTGGTGAAGATGTGGAGAAAGGGGAACTCTTGTGCACTGTTGATGGGAATGTACATTGATGTAACCACTATGTAAAACAGTGTGGAGGTTCCTCAAAAAATAAAAAATAGAAGTATCATATGATCCAGCAATCCCACTTCTGGATACCTGAAATAAAAACAGGATATCAAAGAAATATCTACACTCACATGTTCATTGCAGCATTATTCACAAAAGCAAAGATATGGAAACTACCTCAGTGTCCATGGACATATGAATGAATGAACAAATAAGATGTGGTGTGCATATTCCCTCTTTCTCTCTCTCTCTCTCTCTCTCTCTCTCTCTCTCTCATGTACACACACACACAGAGACACACACACACACAGTGCAATATATTATTAGGTCATGAGAAAGAAAGAAATCCTATTTTCAACATGGATGGACCTTGAGGGTATTATGCTAAGTGAAATGAGCCAGATAAAGAAATACTACATGAGATCCTGTTATATGTGGGATATCAAAGAAAAAATGTCAAACTCATAGAAACAGAGAGTAGAAGAGTGGTTGCTAGGAGCTGGGGGATGAGGGAAATAAGAAGTGGGTAAAAGGGCACAAACTTTCTGCACTAAGATGAATAAGATATGAGGATCTAATGTAAAATATCACCATGATGAACACTTTAAATATTTTATAATTTTGTCAATTATACCCCAATAAAGCTGAATCTTTAATTAAAGTTTTTTCAAATCATTGCTTTGTCTATGATATCTGAAGAAATAACACACTCATTTATCTTTATACCTGAAGAAAATTTTCCTCACGAAGCAACGGCAAAGAAATGGCATCGATGGAGTTGGGGGAGGATCAAGATGGCAAAGGAGTAGGACAGGGAGCTCACCTTCTCCCACAAAAACATTAAAAGCACATCTACAAGTGGAATGATTCATACAGAAAATCTACTGAACACTGGCAGAAGACCTCAGACTTCCGCCAGGGCAAGAAAACCTCCATGTAACCATATAGGACAAAGGAAAAAGACAAAGAAAGGAACTGGGACAGGGCCTGAACCCCAGGAAGGGAGCTGTGAAGGAAGAAAGGTTTATGTACCTTGCGGAGTACCCTCACCAGTGTGGAGATCAGCCTGCATGGAGGGGGAGCTTTGGAGCCTAGCAGGAGAGTGCAACAACCGGTTTGTGGAAGACAAAATGGAGAGTAACGAACACAGAAGGTTGTCACTGCCACCCTGTGCTCCCCAGCCTTAGACACTTGCCTGTCAGTGTGGGTGGGGGCTGGGTGCTGAAGCTCAGCCTTCAGAGGTCAGACCCAGGAAGAGGACCGGGGTTGGATGTGCAGAGACAGCCTGAAGAGGCTGGACTGTGGCAACTGAGCAGGTACTCAGAAGAAACCAGAGCTCACTGGAGAGGCAAGGTGCCATTATTTGGGGGTTCACGAGGAGAGAGGCAGGAACACCATAAGAGCTTCCTTCCCTGTGGGCTCTCCCAGGCAAGAGGACACCGCCTACAGGAACTCTGGGGGTGGGCACAAGTTGTCACTACCATCCTGGGCTCCAGAGGAGTGCTGTCCCAGGAGTGCCTGGGTAGTAGCCACCCTTAGGAGACTGGTGAGCAGGTGCCAAGCTCTGTCCTGGGAGTGTGGGAATGGCAGCTGCCCCTAGCAGACCTGCAAGCAAGCAATGAGCCCTGCCCCCGCTCTCCCCAGAGTGCACAAGGGCCACTGCACCTGCATACTCTGTATCAAGGGGATAATAGCCAACACACACTGAGGAAAGAGACAGCCACCATCCAGACTAAGAGCAGCCCCTCAATCCCGGAAAAGATGGTGGAGGAGAAGAACTTGAGCTCACTTCCTCTCATGAAAACACCAAAATCACAACTTACTGCTGAATAACCACTGACAAAAGACCAGAACCTACCAGAGAAGATATTTTACATTCAAAGACAAAGAAATAGCCACAACAAAACTGTAGGAGGGGTGCCTTCATGACATAATCAAATCCCATACCCCTTTGTAGATGAACCACAAACTAGAAAATACCTATATTGAAGAGGTTCTCCCACAAGAGTGAAAATCTTGAGCCCCTGTCAGGCTCCCCAGCCTGAGTGTCTGGCATCAGAAGGAGGAACTCCCAGACCATTTGGCTTTGAAGGCCAGCGGGGCTTGAGTGCAGGAGCTCCACAGGACTGTGGGAAACACAGACTCCACTCCTGGAGGGCTCACACAGGTTTCACATACACAGGGACCCAGCAGAAAGCAGTAACTCAATAGGAATCAGGGCTGAACCTACCTACAAGTCTTGGAGGGTCTCCTGGGGAGTCAGGGGTTGGCTGTGGTTCACTGTGGAGGCAAGGACATTGGTGGCATAGGCCCCAGAAAATACTGATCAGTGTGAGTTCTCCCAGAGGTCGCCATTTTGGTATCAAGACCTGGTCCTACCCAACAGCCTACAGGCTTCACTGCTAGAATGCCTCAGGCCAAATAACCAGCAGGATAGGAACACAGCCCCACCCATCAGCAGACAGGCTGCTAACACCATACTGAGCTCACAGCCATCTCTAAACACACCCCTTGACAAGGCCCTACCCAGCAGAGGGACAAGATCTAGCTCCACCCACCAGTGGGCAGGAACCAGTCCCTCCCACCAAGAAGCCTGCATAAGCCCAAGGACCAACCTCACCCACCAGGGGACAGACAGCAGAAGCAAGAGGAGCTACAGTCCTGCAGCCTGTGGAACAGAAACCACAATCACACAAAGTGAGACAAAATGAGACAGCAGAGAAAAATGTTCCAGACAAAGGAACAAGATAAAAACCCACAAGAACAACTAAATGAAATGGAAATAGGCAACCTACCTGAAAAATAATTTAGAGTAATGATAGTAAAGATGTTCCAAGATCTCAGAAAAATAATGGAGGCACAGATTGAGAAGATACAAGAGATGTTTAACAAAGAGTTAGAAGGTTTAAAGAACAAAGAAACAGAGATGAGCAATACAATAACTTGAATGAAAAATACACTAGAAGAAATCAATAGCAGAATAATCAAGGCAGAAGAACGAATAAGTGAGCTGGAAGACAGAAAGGTAGAAATCACTGCCGCAGAACAGAATAAAGAAAAAATAATGAAAAGAAATAAGGACAGTCTAAGAGACCTCTGGGACAACATTAAATGCACTAACATTCACCTATAGGGGTCCCAGAAGGAGAAGAGAGAGAGAGAAAGCGCCTGAGAAAATATCTGAAGACATTATAGCTGAAAACTACTCTAACATGAGAAAGGAAACACTCACTCAAGTCCAGGAAGTGAAGCAAGTCCCATACAAGATGCTAAGACACATATTAATCAAACTGAAAAAATTAAAGCCCCCCCAAAATTTAAAAGCAACAAGGGAAAAGCAACAAACAACACACAAGTGAATCGTCATAAAGTTATCAGCTGAGTTTTCAGAAGAAACCTGGCAGGCCACA